CGTCTTCTCGGTTCTTTCTTGATATTTTTTTTGGGGGGGGGGGGGTTTCGGAGTTTTTTCTTTTCTTTTCTTTTCTTTTCTTTTCTTTTTTTTTGCTGTTTTGGTTAATGAATGCGTGGTTTTAACAAGGTATGCATGGATGGATGGATGCAGGGAGGAGAAGAAAGAGGAGTCAGCGCCAACAGAACAGTGGAGACCCAACGTCGTTGTCGTTGTCGTTGTCGTTGTCGCCGCTGTTGTCCTTGCATCGCGGGCCATCGGGAATCGAGGATACATGCATGCAGCCAACGGCATACTTACCTACTTACGCGTGCATGCATGCATGCATGCAGACAAGAAGCTGGCAAGCTGACGACCGACCTACCTACCTATGCAGATGGGACGCTGCAATGCACACATGAGGTGGCTTTGTTGGGGGGCATGCCCGCCGCCGCCGCCGCCGCCGTCGCTCTCTTTCGTCTCACCGCCTTTCTCTTTCCCTCTTTCTCTCCCCCACGCAAACACACGTACGCACGTGCCGACGACTCTTTCTCCGCCCTTTCCGCCCTTCTTCCCGCTCGCCTCGCCTCAACCCACCACTATCCTATCCGATACGCTGTGTTTTTCATTTTCCTTCTTTTTACCTCGCGATTATCATTCCTCTTTTTCTTTGAGGCTCGTTCTCGCATCGTCGGTTTCGAGCGTTATCGGCGCAATGCACGCGCTTTTCGGCTATCGGTTACATAGGGCTGGGTGGCGGGCTGGCTGGGATTTTGCCAAATTGGATGATTGATTGATTGATTGAATGGAGCGTTTGGGAAATCTACGCGATATCTAGATTGGCTATTTTTGAGCGCGCATTTTTTTTGATTTGCTGCTACATTTTCACTACATACATGGCGCCGTTTATGCGGCCTTGGAAATATAGTAGCCGTTTCATTCCAATACTGCCCTGCCCCTGATATATGTACGTCTGTATATGCCGCCTTATTCCGTAAGACTGTCCTCGGCCGTCTTGGGGCTCGCCGTGTACCCTTGGTCTAGCGTCTGCCGGACCTGCTCTGCTCGCCTCCTCGCATCAATGTACATCATAAACTCCTGGTATGTGCTGGGCATGACCCGGATGTTCTTGGGCACCGTGAACGTGTAGTTGAACTGCCCTGTTGGCTTGGACCGCCCGTGCTCCACATCCCGCACCTTGGAGTCAACCCTGATTTGCACCCTTGTGTATTCGGAATGGTCGTCGAATTCCTCGCCTGGAGCTCCAATCAGCGGCGGGTCCGTGTACACTACCGTTGCCGTCAGGTACAGTATGCTGCCTACAGGCACAGGGTTCTGGAACGTCGATGGGTCGAGTGACACAAACGTCGGGCGGGCGTGGGCAAAGGCCGCCGCCGTCGTAAAGGCGAGCTCAAACGTTTGCTTGAGCAGGAAACCACCGAAAATCATAAAGTGGTGTCTGTTGCGGTATTGGGGCTGCATGATGGTTGCAGTTTGAAGACGCGTCGCATCCATGGGTATCACGTTGTCGGGTCTGCGAAGCTCGTTATATGGGTCTGCCATGATCAGCTGGTCGACTCATATCTCTGCTCTAAACAGAACGCACCATGGTATTGCAACTGTTTCTGCCAAAAGGCGTGGATGAGATCGCTCTCGAGATCGTTCGGTGTATGCTTAAGAAGCGAAGTTTCGCGGCGTTCTTTTCGCACTTGTGAATTGCGTTCGCCCAGCGCATAGATGCTTCTCTCATCATCCGTTACAATCTCCAGCGGGTTGACATTTACCGGCCTAGCCGCATTGTTAGTTTTCATCAAGACACTGAGCATTGCAAGTCCTACTTCTTCGTAACGGGATCCAGCGAAACCATTGTAAATGTGCAATTGATAAGGATGTCCTTGTCCTTGCGCTTCTCGCCCTTTTTGGGCGCCTTGGCAACCTGCATGGTAATTTCCAGGCTACTCCTGCCCGACGCGTAGGTAACGCGGCCAGAGAGCTCCAGGTCGCATATTTCAGTTAGAGGGGAGTGGATGGTGATTCGATCACAGCTTGCCGTAACAGTCGTGACATCCTCGCCTGTGTGCTTGTATCTGTAGGTACATTAGACGGATCAAATCATTCTGCGCAGCTGTATATGCTTACGCAATGACACCAGAAAGCGCATCGAGATCCATGAAAATGGTCCCAAGACGTATATGCCCCGATGAATTGAGATATGTGTCGAGTAACCATGGGTCTTGGGCTAGTGGCAGAATGACTGCATGGTAGCTATCATCCATGCGCTTCGGTGTCAACTTGCGATCCTTGGGTAATTCAGACTTTGCTGGACTCTCAGATGGTTGCTTGTCTCCCGCCTGCTGCCGTCGCAACGCCTCTACCCACGGAGTGCGCACCCGCATGGCAGTCAGCTCCCGGAATACGCCATCGGTGCGTGGAGACGGGCTAGAATGAAAGGACTTGTGAAGTCCTGGGGTACTAGTAGGTAACAATGATGTGGCATTGCTGCATCTCAGTGTTTTACCGGCGCGCTGGAGCGTGTTCTTAGTGAGGAGCCTCATTTAGGGTGGAGAAGGTGCGAGGGAGTGACGTATGGGGTTGCTGCTGGTTCCGAGTCTTGGCACCCGAGGCCAAACCACCAAACCGCCAAGGCCCCTCCTCCTTTGCTCTTCAAGCTCAATGCCATTTTCTCGCTGCATGCTGGCGAGAGTCAACTGAACGAGAATGTCGTCGTTAGTCGAGCTGGGCCGCGCGGTGATAGACGCGCCCACGACAAATCACGAGCTTTGGCTCACAACATTGATCGCCATCTCACCAAAACAAGATGCGGCTTACATTGCGCAGCTTACGCCAATTCAATGTCTTGAAACTCTTGCTTCTGGAGCCTTCTGGGTACACCGTGGACACGACATGCATATGGACCTGAAACTTACATTACATAACAAAGCACTGCCCCACAGGCAGATCCAAGACCTCACCCAGGCTATCCTCCAGGCCCCAGTAAGCTGTTTTACTGTCATGCCAAACATCTACTAAACGTATCCAGATATGGCAACAATTGAGGTTGAAGCCAGGCCTTCTGAGTAATGCTGTCACAGGCTCGGGGACAGTGCGGCTCAGTATCAGCCACAGTTCGACGACTGGGAAGGATATGGAACAAAAGCGTCACAGACTCTTTCCATCTATGCCGGTAACAGACCTCCAGCCTCCAGAAGGCATCATGTCCGTCTCAATCGACTCAATTCGGCTCTCCATGGAAATTTTGGAGATAGGCCCGCGTAGAAGACCTCCAACGAAGCGATCAAGTCCCTCTTCATGCGATCAGAAAGTCCCTATACCTGAAGCGGAAGATTCCAATACATTGGTTTGTGACACGGCACTAGCCGAAGAGGCCCTGGATGATCATACATCGCGTCCTGATACAACAGCTACAAGCAGGAAACGAAAACGGCCCGTCACTGACATGTCAGCGGCCTCATTGGAAGACTCTGATCAAACTGCTACACCGAGTAAAACAAGTGTACCTGCTGACTCAAACTTGATGCTACGACAGGGTCCTTTTCCAGCTGGGCCATCTCAACTAGACATACCGAGTATGATTGATAGCGCACTTCGTCTCTCGATAAAGGGCACGATGAACAAATTGCCTCATGGACTGAAGGTCAAAGCAAGTACATTCCGCCTAGGGCTCGCCGACATAGCTCCGACGTTGTGGAGGAGTGGGTACGCAGATGTATGAAACACTTTGCGTTGCTCAATACTCCGCTCATATCTGGACAGGCTCTATCTCACAGAGCTCAGTTGACACCTACAATTGCTCGCTCACTTTCTCAAATAGGCAATTCAACGCTGTCCATGTCACTAAAATCCAAGATAGAAAGCCTCAGCACTGTTACGTATACGGATCGACAGGGCAATGGGCGTGAGCCAATAGGCACCCTTGAGCCTAAAATTGCTTGCTCAAAGTCATGCTTTGAGACGCAAATATGGATGCACTCCCAAAGGACTCTTCTCAATAGCTCTATGCCACCAATGCAACCTTGCATCAACTTCAATCCAGACCAAATCCATTCGGACTCTGACGACATGTTGGCAGAGAGAGATGATGGCTGGAATACTGGTATTTCTGCCATGGAGGACCATGAGAATATCCAGAATGACTCATTTGAACTCTGTGATGGTGGGAGTGTGGTGCTAGTTACACGACCGGCGGCGATTGACCACGGTCATCGAGGCCAAACACACAGACAACGCCACGGCAAACCCATCACAGATGACGCGCTTGATGAAGCGGAAGAAGAGATATTGTTTAGCCCACTGTCCGAAAGAGTCGTATCAGCCATCGACTCTTGAGGAGAAGCAATCGGTCTCATTAATGCAGGGACTGAGCACTGATGTTCCGGGTGCACGGGACTTAGGCAGTCGGTATCCGACAAGAGACGGATGGCATTGGTTTAAGGTTTCGTCTAACGTCGATGGACTTATCATGGCTGAAGCAGGAACTTTACGTGAGAGGCGTCATAAGAATTGTACCGGGTATCTGGCCTAGCCGTGTTGCTTACGCAATCCAGTAAAACTTGGCTTGTTCCATTACTCTTCTTCATATAACAGAATCGACACGGCTGATCATCTTGATGCGTTTTCCTACTAAAAAGCTGAATATGTATGCATTCGCGCAACTTATGAGCACACGGCTACTACCTGGATGTACTTGTAGTAGCTTGATATGGCCTCAGTATGGCTTTTATATGGTCTGATCTAGGAAGTTAGCTTTTTTTGACGGACAAAACCTCAACGACACTGAGCGCCCTCTACCTGAGTCGAGGTGCTAGTTTAGATGGTATATATAGAAGAGGCGCAGAGCTTAAAGTCAAGTCCCTGGTCAGGAGTTTTTCCGCAACAGCACTAGCCTCTAGCCACCAACCCCAGCCTTACACTGATCTGGAGTCGGTCGCGCCTCTGATCGACAGCCGTCCAGCATCCGTGCGCTAGAGTTTCTACCCCCAGCTTCAACCTTGCAGATAACATACTTGATACTTGATGGGTTCGCAGTGCGGAGACTGACAAAGTCATCCTTCCAGTTGACATTACTAGCGACGGATGCCATTACTACGTACATAACCTGCAATAAACAATCCTCAAGTTGGATCGTATCTCACGTCACAGACATGGTAGAAAAGCACAGAATGATCAGCACTATTCATACTAGATACGCACATGAATCGCTCGAATCCTCCTCGCAGATACCAACGATTCGTATCATGCACCCCCCCCCCCCGAAACCGACATCCAGCCCCCGGGGCATATGTTTGAGGAAACGAGAAATGCTTACCACCGGGAAGGAAACATTAAAAAAAATGACGAGACCATGACTGCGTTTCGGGGCTACCCTTACACCTATACGGGTCAATCCATGATGTTATAGTCCAACATTCATCAAGCTCTCCCCCCCCCTCCCCCCCCTCCGATTTTCAGCCACCAGGCTTTGCCCGTTCCCGCAAAGTGCCGTCGCACCAATGGCAACGGGGCTCGTGAGGCACATGTCAACTCGGCGCTCTTCCCCCCGAGCCTCATGCTTGTCTCTGGGCGTACGTAGACGAGAGGCGCGATTGAGGAACGACGGAGCCATTAGACCGTCGATGGCTAGATACTCTAGACTTGCAGATACTAACAGAACACTCATTTCGGTACTGAGACGGAATGCCTTCCCCCCCCCCCCAATATCTGAGCGCTCATGCTTCTCCCCCACCCCCCCTTCCCAAGCGCGGCGGGAGGGCAAGAGTCAAAAGTATCGTGTGCTTGTTGGGAATGAGATGCAACTGCCGATATCGAGGATCGTCGAGGTGACGTCAAGTCCTGGCCGTACGAGGGGGGGAGTACATACGATAACGAAGCGCGAGCTGCACGCGAAGTCACATGCGTATGGGGGGAATCGCGGTTTTCGGGGAAACCCATCAAGCCACCATGGACAGATTTGTCCCTGATGGGAAACCAAGATGAATAGCTGAATACAGGCATAGTTGACAGCGCCATAATATTTTTTCTTTCCCGCCATGTTGTCTGATTTGACAAACAAAAAAAAACAGGAAGAAGAAGAAGATGATGATGATGACCTCCTCGGCCAGAATCCAGGTGTAGCAATAGTAGGCGGGCAAGGGCGTTTTTCCCAACGCGGGCTTAGCCCAAACCTAAAGGCCTTCGCACGCTGCTCAGTACGCGACGCCACTGAGACGATCAATTGCGAGTTGCAGGTGCCGATCAGCCCATGTGAAGGTACATCAGCTGATACGGAAAGCGTGGCCGCATACAGCTAACTTCGGTACTATGCTTCCTAAGGCCATGGCCAATGTTCTTGGTCGCTTTCGCGTTCTGGTCGCCAGCACGGGTAAGGTTTGTGTGGCTGGGCCGAGCCTCGCACACTCGCACACCCCCTTCCTCCTCCCCCCCAAAGGTATCCTGTCGTAGTGTTTCACCACGTAGCGATGTACATAGCACCCGCCACCTAGCGCGTGAAGAAGAAGTCGTGGCGCCGGGAAATTCATACTCGCGCCACCAGCCTTCTAGGCCCCGACCAGATGTATGATGCGGAGGTTTTTCTTCTTCTTCTTCTCTCCTTGAACGGGAAAGCCGTGGGGCTCAACGGGATCTACGCTGTTAGGGGCGGTGCCGGGTGGACGGTCGTGGCGTCCCACCCCCCCCCCCCCCCATTTCATAGGGTGAGTGTGTGTGAAAGTATGTATGCTCTTTTCTGTGTGCGCCAAGGGGAATTGGCAAAGCTCCAGCTTTGCATGTATGAAGACTGGGGACCGATCCATTCGGGCGGCGAATTTCGCCGTTCACCCGTTACCTTTCGTACAGTGAGCGATAAACCGCTTCTGGGTTCCGTTTTTTTGTTTGTTTTGGCTTTGTATCTTCCTCGGTCTGCATCTTGCACACCCCCACATACACGGTGCCGTCTTCACATGTATGTATGGGGTGACTGGATTCGGACATCCACCTCTTCTTCATCATCATCATCTTCTTCTTCTTCTTTCCGCTTCTTCTTCATCTTCTTCTTATCAAAGCACTGCCAGAGTTAGAGGAATGACTATCCTGAGGTAGGATCTCTGTTTCATGATGCGAGTGAGACCCGGCTCGTGAGGAAGCACATTTACCGAAGCCCATATACTTTGACAAGTGTACCCATTGAGCACATTTTGTCTTTGCCCCAGTTAAACGTCAAAAGTCTGGCTAGCAGCCGCCGCTTGGTCATAACTCGGAAACAGACCAACCCTTTTCTCTCTCTCTCTTGAGTAACGCTCTCGCCAAACAAAAAAAAAGAGACAACTTGCCAGGCAGCGCCGTATAAAAGAAAAAGCGCATGATTCGCTTCGCAAGATCACCACGGCTGTTGACGAGTTTGGCCAAGCGATTGCCAGAATGTCAGTAGACGTCAAGGACAAATACCCGATTGGAAATATACCGCACATCACGTTCGTCCCGTACCTAGTGCCGTTCTCGTATCTCATCAGCTTCATCGGCTGCTTCACAACAATCGAGCTGTTGCACCGGCGCATATCAAGAGCAGGATGGCGATCATGGTACGTGGTGACAATGGCAGTGCTCTCTAGATCCGCTTCTAACACCGTCGCCAGGGCGCAACTGGCAGCATGTTCTGTGTCGTTTGGCGCAGTCGCTATCTGGAGCATGTACACTGCAGGCAACCGCAGCATTAGCCTTGGACATGGCGAAGCGGAAATCCAGTTCTACTACAGCCCCACGTACTCTGCGCTAGCGGGCGTGATAGCCATCGTCGCCGTCTTCCTGGGCCTCTCGACAGCCGACAAGTTTTACGAGACAGGCGCCGCGCCTCTGGTTCGCTTCAGTTCGCTTGCTGTGTGTGGTATCTGCGTCGGGGGTGCAGCCATGGCGATGCACTACCTGGGGAACAAGAGCATAGCTAATTACAGCATCTCGGTCAACAAGATCTATGTTGGAGGCGCTGCAGCCATAGCGGTTGTATTTTCTTCGGTTGGGTTTGGCTTCTTTTTCCACTGGAACAAGCTATGGATGAACAACATTTGGAGGCGCATACTTGTGTCCGGCTTCCTCGCTCTAGGCGTTTGCGGGTAAGCATCGCGATTCGAGGCACATGCGGCGTGAAATTCTTTTTGCTGACAAGGCCTAGGATGCACTGGACAGTGGTAGTAGGTACTGTGTATGAGGTTCGGGGATATTACCGTGGTCCAATAGTATATGCGCGTGTGGATTGCATCCTTGCGTTGAGTTTTGTGGGTGTCTTGCTCGATCAGGGTTATCAGCTGCTAACGAAGAGATAGTCGGTATTTTCCTTCATTCTGTGTATTGTCCTGGGCTTCAGCAAGCAACGGCAGCGGAAAAAGGAAATGACCAGGGCACAGGAGGTCGTATTGGCTGTTTCCATGTTCGATTCTGCAGGGAGGTTGCTGGTAAGTAAAAGCGGCCTCATGCCCTGCCAGACCATCACGCAGCATTTCAACCAAGGCGTCTTTGACGACGACTTCAATGCCTCCCACCATGTGTTCCAATGGATCTTCAGAGTCACAAAGAACTGGGCTAGCATCAAAGACGTCATTCCGTCCATGCGTAGGCATTTGCAATCAGCCGGATACATCCACGAGGATGCAGCTGGACTCAATCGCTGTAGCTCACTACTCGAGTATGATGGCTTGAAATCCTCGGTCATGTTCCGCGAACTGTTTTGCGTCACAGCCGACGAGATAGCGACATCCCTCGACACAGGCATCGAGAATCTGGGCTCCCTATACGAGGATGTCTTGGTTACTGGTACTTTTACGACCCGTAAGACATGGACGGGCAAGCGCCGAAGCAACAGCATCACAGCCGAGGACGTTTCTACGAGCGACTCAGAGCTGGGGAGGGAGAAGAAGGTTGTTTTCGGCAAGGGCCAGATGCTCATACTGACGAAAAAGGTGGATGCAGCGGAGGTGACCCGCCTACAGCAACTTGGCTACAGCTTTGCGGGTATCGAGCAAGTCAGCGAACACATTGCCCGCAGCCTAGAGATCCCCCGCGATGAGCTCGAGAATCTCGTCAGTCGCCTAGACGCATTTAGTGAAAGGCAGTACTCTGTACCCAAAACAGGGGCCTACCTCGCCTCTTTCCTGATACAAGCGAAGCCGGGCATGAAGGAAATGGACGTCATTGTACCGCGAGCGGCTCCAGGCCAGTTGCCCATGGTCGAATTGGACGACGAGCAGCTTGACAGCGAACAAATGAGCACCCTCGCCATGTTCGACGGATTCACCTTGGATGAGTGCCTAGCGCAAATTGACAAGTCATCCGAAGCGGAAATCGAAAAGGATTGTTTCCTAAAGACATTTGGGCATTGTATTGATCAACTCCTGCGGGAATGCCCGGAGGAGGCGCTACATCACGCCGTGTTTTCAGCACTACCCCTCGACATGGTGCCTGGTCAGCCAGAGGTCAGCCAGGCAAAGGTATACGCTTTCTGCGGTATCAAGGAAATTTACGTGCAGTCGCTGCAGAGTCTGACACTCAAGACGATTCCGTTCTCTTTCCTCCGGACATACCTCAAGACACAGCCAGGATGCGCCGATCACGCCATACTGGCACAGGAAATCAACAAAGAGTTTGGCAAACTCCAGCGAACCCATGCCGACGCCAAATTGGCGCGCAATGGCTGCGGCTTCAAGTGGCGATGGAGCAAGCGCGACAAGAGCCCAACGTGCAACGACCGCATCTCCAACACAGACACGGGATCGGACAAGGACCTCCTGGTGTACCGGTACAGGTTAACAGGGATTCGCAAAGTGACTTCGACGTATTCATGGAGTGGACTCATCATGGCTTCCATTGAGCACCTCAACAACTCGGGCGACGGCAAAGAAGGCACCGGCACAGATGCGCGCAGCCTCAATGCCAAGGTCAAGGCCAGGAACTTGGACCAGCAGACGCTGGCGGATCAACTGATGTTCATTATAACGACTTTGCGTGGCATCACGGCCAGAGACTCATCGGCCAACTTGCTTGCCTGGAAGTAGACGACGTTTTGTTTCAAGTTTGAGTCTTATCTGTATTTGTAGCATTCTTGTTGTCTTCTCTTTCTTCTCTTCTTCTTGTTCCTCTTCATTTTCCGCGGAATATCATTGCGCAGCGTTACTACCCCCTGTAGAGTTGGTATACCCGTCGTGTTAGGTAGTGGCAAAGGCCGAGACGTCGCACCGGTTTCGGGAGTGGCATGGTCTGCTGTGAGAAAAGGCTAATATACCTAGTTTTTAATATATGTCTTACGGTCGTCGAAATAGGATTACTGGGCAGAGTGGATTCTGAAGATTATGCAGTCGTGTGAAATAGATAAGCAGGGGGGAGCTGATGCGGATGTCCGATAAGTGACGCGGGGGGGGGGAGGAGGGGAGGCACGCATTGGTGGGATGCTTGGCAAATGACGCTTCATCCGAACTTTCTGTGCCCCACACCGGAGCCTCCCAAACATTGACTCAATTCCCGTGGGTGAGCGCAAGCGGCCAGACACAAAGTTGCAAAGGGTGCCTGATCACGGCGTCTCCTTCATTCTGCTTGCTCACGTCCGCAATTGCCCGTTCTTGACGATCGTCGGAAGCTGCAACTTGCCCGCAAGCAGCCCCTCGCACCATGTCTCCGACAGCAAACACACGACCACACCAACTCTCACCACTCGCTACCCTCACACCGCCATCCAACTCTCGGACATGGCAGTCTTCGCCACACCCGTCTCTTCCGATTGTTGCGACCGCGTGCTCCGACCGAAGCGTGCGCGTGTATAGTCTTACGTCTTTTACACTGCTGCACTCAATCACCGGAGGCCACAAGCGCAGCGTACGCACGGTTTCATGGAAGCCTGGGACGCAAGGCCAGAGCGTCTTGGCAACGGGCAGCTTTGACTCGAGTGCCGGGATCTGGCGACGTGAAGAGCAGGGCGGTGCACTGGAAAACGACTTTACGAACCGGCGCGTGGGCAGTGCGGAGGATGAGGATGATCACGATGACGACGCAGAAGACTATCAGTTCAGCTGTATTCTCGATGGCCACGAGTCGGAGATCAAGTGTCTCTCCTGGAGCCCCTCGGGGCAGTACCTGGCTACGTGTTCGCGCGACAAGAGCGTGTGGGTATGGGAAGAGCTGGAAGACGACAACTTTGAGACGGTAGCCGTGTTGCAGGAGCACGACGGAGATGTCAAGTGTGTGGCATGGCATCCGGAAGAGGACTTGCTGGTCAGCGCGAGTTACGACGACACGGTCAGGCTGTACAGAGAAGACGCCGACGACTGGGTGCAGGTTGCCATGATAGATGGGCACAGCCAAACGGTATGGTGGGCCGAGTTTGAGGGAAGTGGAATGAGCAAAAAGGACTGGAGGGCGAAGAGAGAGGGCTTGTCGGACGAGCAGACACAGCACATTGAGGGGCTTGAGCAGTCGGGGCCGCGACTGGCGACGTGTTCAGATGACCGCACCGTGAGGATATGGCGGCGGAAGGCTAAAGAAGGCGACGACAACGCGAGCAGCAACACGGGGATACCGAGCATCATCCGGTCGGCAGCGATTGATGAGGACTGGTATCAGGAAGCCATACTGCCGCAAGTGCACGAACGCGCCATCTACTCGGTCTCGTGGAGTCGCAGCACAGGCCTGATTGTTAGTGCTGGCAGCGACGGCAAGATTATCGTGTACCAAGAGCGGTGGCGACAGCAGGAATCGAGTGCCGCCAATGGAGGTGAAATGGAGGTTGACGCGGCACAAACACAATCCCCGACCGAGTGGGTGGTTGTCGCAGAACTGTTTTCGGCGCACGACGTGTTCGAGATCAATCACGTGGCATGGGCGCGGAGAGCAGACAAGGGCAAGCGCCGTGCGGATGAAGAGGTTGTGCTGAGCACTGGCGACGACGGCGAGGTTAGAGTTTGGACTTTGGACGATGAGACAGCCACGTCTGCAACATGAGCCAGACGAGATACAAGCCCGCAAGCACACCCAATCTGCCGCTGTCCCGCCCGTCCCCCACGTTGCTATGACCTCAGGTATTACCTTTGTGTGCCTCTTCCAGGTTTGCGCGACCCGTGGCGAGTGCTTCCCGTGTATGCTCCGCCACTCTGGATCGCCGGCCAACAGGCGTTTCCCGGGCGGCTTGCTGCCAACCATGGCATGGTCGAGTCGAGGGTTTCACGGCGGCCACCAAGCGAGTGGGCGATGAGATGGGTGTTTCTGTGTCTTTCGGTTCCTTTGTTTCTTGCGGGAGCGAGCGAGCCCCCCTAGCCCCCCTGGCAGATGCGAATGTCGGGCGGCACAGCAATCAGCATGGGAAATAGGGCACACGTGGGCCGTCTTTGTCGTTTGCGGGCGTTCGCTGCTGTGGCGCAAGGGGGCGCAGACATGGGTCGAGCTTTCGTCATGCCAAGCCGCAGATCGTGGTTGGGATCAGGGAAGGGCCGCCAATTTTACTGCCACAGCGAAGATGCTAGGTGTAATCTACCACGCGTGTCCAACGGCTATTACTTGGCCTCTCCGTCGCGAGTGAACCGAACCGTCCACCCTCTCGCCCGCCCTGCTTGCTTTTTCTTCCTCTTCTTCTTCTTGTTTCCTGCCCTCGTGCAGCCGACGGCGTTGCGCGCGCTTCTAGTTCCTTCTCACATGCACATGCTTTAATCGGGCCCCGGCCACTGTCTCCATCTTCAGATCCCACCCGCGTTTCCCCGTATCGGATTTCCTCGTGCATCCACATCCAAAAGCTCCTCGGTTTCTCTGTCCCCCCCACCTCCCACCGTCCACGTCTCAACACATTTCCGCCAAGCGCGCGTGCCCTGCGAGAACAGACGTCGTGCACCTGCACCCGCTCTCCCTCCCCATTTCGCTGCGTTGTTCACCGCCTGCGCCCACCCGACACCGCCCATGCCACCAAAACGAAAGCGAACCACCGCCGTCGACTCCGTCAAGCAAGAGGCCATGGACCCCGTACAGCCGTCCTTGCGCGATGCGTCTGACGAGGGCGCCGAAGACCCTGTCCTCCAGGCCGTCGCGTCCAAAAAGGAGCGACAAGCTGACGCCAATGGTTCAACCAAGCGAGTACGTGTAGCAAAGGGGCCCCATGACGAAGACGGCGACGAGGAGCGTGCCGTCAAGAAGAGCCGCCGCACACCATCCCCTGTCGATGACGAGCATGGCGAGGCCGGCGAGGCAGAGTCGATGCGCATGCCACCCCCTCCAAAAGCTGGCCTGGTCGACCCCGTTGGCTACAAGACGAACCCTCCGCCCGTCGGGCGACCCGTCAGAGTGTACGCGGACGGTGTCTTTGACCTTTTCCACATTGGCCACATGCGCGCGCTGCAACAGGCAAAGACGGCCTTTCCAAACGTTCACCTGGTCGTTGGCGTTACTGGCAACAAGGAGACACATAAGCGCAAGGGTCTGACCGTCTTGTCAGCGAGGGAGCGCGCCGAGAGCGTGCGCCATTGCAAATGGGTCGACGAGGTCATTGAGGACTGTCCGTGGATTGTCACGGCCGAGTTCTTACTAAAGCACAACATTGACTATGTGGCACACGATGACCTTCCATACGGCGCGGACGAAGGCGACGACATTTACGGTCCCATCAAGGAGCGAGGCATGTTTCTGGTCACCCAAAGAACCGAGGGTCTCAGCACAACGGGCATCATCACCAAGTAAGAGACGTCTTCTGAGTGTCATTCAAAACAGTACTAACATGACGCAGGATCGTGCGAGACTACGACCAGTACATTGACCGCCAACTGAAGCGCGGAACCTCGCGAAAGGAACTCAACGTATCATGGCTGAAGAAGAACGAGCTCGATATCAAGCGCACCATGGCAGAGCTGCGCGACAGCATCAAGGCAAACTGGACCACTACTGGTCAAGAACTCAGCAAAGACTTTCGGCAATTCTGGCAGTCAAGTCGGCCAGCCAGTCCGGCCAGGACGCCTACCAGGGAGCAATCGCAAGCCGAAGCCATGGACCAATCCGGGGCTGCTCGATCGCCGTCGGCGCTCTCGCGACTTAGCTACCTCGATATTCTTCGTGCGAACAACTCGAGGGAATCGTCGGAATTTACTGCCGGTTACAACCTGGGTTTGATTGGAGGTGTACGGGCATGGGTAGGTTGCATTGTAGTGTAGATGGAAAGAGTGGTTTGCTAACACTAGACGACAGATGGCACGCAGTCGTCGTAACCTCAACGACAGCCGGCCGCAGAGTCCCATGGACGACAGTTCTGACGAGCACGAAGGAAAGAGTCTACAAGAAGCGCCGCGTGGCCGCACCGGCAAGCAAACCAAGAGCGAACCCCCCATGGAGACGGCAGCTTAGGAAGCCTTTAGTCGCTACATGTACTAGATTATTACCGTCCCGTTTTATACTATCCTAATACGATTCTATTCTCGCGCGACTAAGCTGCATCGTGTTTCTCCCCGACGCACAAAGGACTGATTGTTGCGTGGCGACAAACGGTTAGACTACCAGTTTGAACAGGAACGTGTGTTGGTTTTGGCACAGCAAGCGGCGTTGTGTGAGGTCGTGTGCAACGACGACTCCACGTGTCTAGGAAACCAAGAGCCGTCCAGACGTTGCGGTCCATGAAGACGGGTTATCTATCTCAACCGCCCCTCTTTGTACCTGTACCTCTTCCCGTTTCAATCGAGCCCAAGCTTACCTATGCCAGAAGGACAACTTGCCTGCGTAAGGAGATGCACAGGAACAGAGAATCAATTGTCTCGACTCAATCAAGGTCAAAGGATAGCTAGACAGCTTGCGTCGCTGCTGCTGGACAAACGAAAACGTCGAGCCAAACGTGTTGCTTGTCGCACGCACGGCGATTGCGCAGCCCACTGGCGCTGATAATGTGCTGGTAGTGAAGAAAGAAGCAGAACAAGGCTATGCCGGGTGTTTTGTGATTGCCCTGCGGAAGGGGGAACGAGGAGGATATAGGATTGAGAGGAAGAACACTGTCCACGATAGGGATACAGCATCTCTCAGCATTTGTTTCTCGAGACAGGCTCACAGGACGACATTGATATTCTCGATACGGCATTGCATCACGACAACACACTGGCCTCCGTTCTGGGTTTCTCTCAAACACACACATATATATATACGCGAGACACTCATTCAACGTCAACCAGAAGCGTGTGCAATGTGCACGGCGCTCTTCTCGCTCTCGTCGTCGTGCCCGTGTCCGCCGACACCGACGCATCCCTACCTGCGCCTCTGTCCGGTGGCCAAGCAGCAGAACCCCGTGCGGGCGTGTCCCGTGGGCAGCCGAATGAGTCAGACCAGGTGGGTGGGGGGCAAGTGTGCGTGGTGCGCCGTTTGCCAAGGGGAGGCGCTTAGGGGCGACCGGAGGGACTGGGCTAGGGCGGTGCTGGCACGAGGGGCAAGACCCCCGAGGGGATGAGGACACACGCACACACACATACGGGAGAAGAGGGGCTGCAGTCGTGACGAGAGCGACTAGGAAGTGTGTGCGTGTGGGTGAGGGGAGATGGGAGGTTAGATTATCGGGGGGCGGCCGTGTGTGTGTGTGGGCGGCATGCAGCGGATGGCTTGGGATGAGATGAGATGGGGGGGAGGGGGTTTTGTCATCAATGTGAGATGGAAGGATGGAGGGGGGGTGTGTGTGAGTGTGGGTGTGGGCGAGTGTATGGGTGGGCGAGGGAGAGAGAGGAACAGAGAGG